CATGGGCCAGTGAGCTGTGCCTGAGCTGAGCTGCCAACAGGTGGCAGGATGGTTCAGCTGGTGAGAGCAAGTGCTCTTAACAACAAGGTTGCCAGTTGGACTCCTGCATGGGATGGTGGGCTACGCCCACTCGCAGCTAAGATTGAACTCGGCACCTTGAGCTGAGCGGCCATGAGCTGCCAATGGGCGGCCGGCTGGCGACTGGACTTGGAGCTGAGCTAGCTGTGCCCTCCACAACTAAGACTGAAGGACAAGTTGGCTGTTCCCCTTCCCCAATTCCCCAATACTGTTTCCTTTCCTCAATTTCCCAATAAAATCTTAAAAAAAATAAATACTAGTTTGGTTGCTCTTGATACAACCACAGAATCTGGTTCCCCATCACCTGGGCTCTTTATTTGTATTTTTCTAATCATAATCGCTGAGCTAGAGAATCTCTTAGAGCTTCTGGTCTCAGAATATCCTGGTATATCTTGGCTCCTGCTGTGTGTAGGGAGTCCCTTGTGCCGTGTTGTCCTCTGTCTAGGCTATAGACTTGAGATGAGCAGAAAGGTGAATGGCTAAAAACCAGTTGACCAGCATATTGACTGAAGGACAACTGCCTGTTCTGTGCCAGAAAAGGGAACAGAACATAGAGTTGTTTTTCTCCGTTCCTGACATGGTCCTTTGTTCCTTTTCCCCGTTTATTGCCACAGCAATTTCGAGCCAGAGGGAGAGCCTGGGGCAGAGGCACCTACTCTGGTAACAACAACAGCAGCAGCAACGATTTTCAAAAGAGAAACCGGGAGGAGGAGTGGGACCCTGAGTACACGCCCAAAAGCAAGAAGTATTACCTGGTATGTGTCTGGGGATAAGCAGGAAGGGCCAGGGGGCTTTTGGCACGCACAGTAGCTGACTCCAAGGCTTTAGTTGGTCTCTCCAGACCTGATGAAACCCGTGTGCAGGCATCTTGCACTGGGGGGGATGTATACTTGGGGGAGAGTATAGTGCTGGCAATATGAGTGTTCTCCAGAGAGGCAGTCCTGGCCTTGAAAGGGTTTATCATCTGAGGCATTCGGACTCCAGGACAAGCAAGAGGGTTGCTCTTCCCTTTTTAGCCCGTGAACTTGCTTTACTCCTCACCCATCCCCAACCTTGGCCTCCCTCCAGCCTCTACCAGGGATAGAGCTGTAACCCTTCCCCTAGGCCACAGTTCCACTTTGACACTCCCCAGTGCAAGATTGACAGGAAAGACAGCTCAGGATCTCTTTGAGGAAGGGGCTCTGTCTCCCCAATAAAATGCCACTGGGGCATCTCTCGTCAAGGCTGTTGGTCTTTCCTTCTGGGCCTCTCTCCCTGTCTTAGGTTGGGGCTCTTCTAGACTGAACTTCCTGGCCAATGAGCGAACTCTCTTGGCTTTGCTATGTCATTAGCAGGCTTCAATCCAAGCCGATGTGACTCTGCAGTAACCAAAGTAAACTAGGAATTGAGTCTGTCACCTGTGAGAAGGGCCGGTATGGGTCTGTGTTGTCAGCCGCACAGCTAGGAAACAGGCTGTTGTGTAGATGACTGTGTACAGCCACCTTCACTTTGCTAGGGCTGCTGGGAGCTGCTTTGAGACTCCTAGAGGAGCCTTGCACCTCTATCTAGGGTAGGGAAATGTTGGCTGGGCCCAGGATAGGTACTGGAGTGGGACTGCTTTTGAGGACGATTAAAAGCCATACCCAGCCCTGTTCCCTGCTCCTGTTTGCCACCTGAAGCAGCACTGCTGACCTGATGCATTCAAGTGTGTAAACAAGCAACCCTGGTAGGTAGCAGCTGGCCCTTTCGCTGAATTGACCCCCAGGAGCCTGGTCCTAGTTGCGTGGCTGGGTAGTTTACACTGTTGGAAGCCATGGGGCTGAGGAGGTAGCAACAACTTATAGTTTTCAAAATTCGTTCTTTCATCAGATCCTCCTTGTCTCTGATGAGATCATCAGAGCAGGGACTGTGATGTACATTTTTTTTCTACCCTGCCACTCCGCCTCTGTGCGTAAAACTGAAGAGGGGAGATAAAAGATGAGAGGCTGGGTTCTGGTCCTGTGTTGCCACTAACTGGTCTGAGACCATGATCAGGTCGTTGCTCTTGGTCTTGCTGTCTGTTCTTGGCTGGGGATGAGGGTGGGGGGCGTTGGGAAGTGTGGGAGCCCCAGCTCTGTGTTCTGAGTGTTGCTTCCTCTGTTGGCTTCCTGACAACCCAGATCAGACAGTTGCCTGTTTTGGTGTGATTGTCTTTCTCAGACCCATCCTTTGAGAGATGGTGTACTAAATAATATGGGTTATTTCAAGTTCCTAAGCCTGTTTCCTCATTTGCATAGTGAAGGGTGATAATGATAGGGTAGACGTGAGGATTAAATGAGATAATGCATGTGAAGGTCTTTGGGTGCTCAGTGAAGATTTTATCATCATCATATATTATAATGCCAATCTACTGCCTTAGCTTTCCTAGGCACCCAACTGAATATTCTCTTAGATCTGAATCAGTAGCATCTTTGGAGTGGGGAACAGGGAGGAGGACAGAAAAGGAGCAAAAGGTGGATCAGAGCATCCGTCCGTATGAGAAAGTCACATTTGGGTGGGTACAGAGAAGGTTCTGGCTCCTCTTGTTCACTCTGGCATTGATGGCAGTTTTCTTTCCTCTTAGCATGATGACCGTGAAGGCGAAGGCAGTGAGAAGTGGGTGAGCCGGGGTCGGGGCCGAGGAGCCTTTCCCCGGGGCCGGGGCCGGTTCATGTTCCGGAAATCCAGCACCAGCCCCAAATGGGCCCACGACAAGTTCAGTGGGGAAGAAGGGGAGATCGAAGATGACGAGAGTGGGACAGAGCACCGAGAAGAGAAGGACAGTTTACAGCCCACCACTGAGTAGGGGCCACTCTGGATGGGAGCCCTTGCCCAGGGGAGAGGCGCTGGGAAGATGGCTGGTGAAGAGCTAAACAGAAGAGCCCCAAGAAGATTCTGAAACACCCACCCCCACCCCCACCCCCCCAGCCATGCAGAATCCTAGTACAGCCCAAAGCATCCAGCATTCCTGGCGCCACCTCCCGCTAGACAGAGGTGGCTGGTTGTGGAGCCTGGCTGGGGTCAGGCCCAGCTCTTGAGCAGAACACAGCACATTGGGCTTCAGCTGTGTTTCTCATTTGTTGTTGGTGTGTGGGGTGGGGGCTGGGGCTGGGAGGGGAGAGCGATACTTGGATTTTGGTTTGTTCCCTATTAGAAACCAACAGTTTTGTTCTTACTTTCATTTCATTTGGAGCGAAGACTAATTTGATTTTCAATCTCATCTCTCTTATCCTGGTTTTAAAAGCCTTCCCTTTTTTTAGGCATATGTAGTAATATTAGCAGAAAGATTTAATTTGGGTAACTTTGATTCTTAAAAGAGAAAACAAAGCATGTGAATAAACATTGACGTGTTCACCTCAGTTTGGGACCAAACTGCTTGGATCTTTGTAAAACTCAGCTTTGTATGTCGAGGAGGAGTTCAAGGCCTTTCTGACCACCTTGTGTTCCCCTTTTCTGCACAGCCATGTATCACATGGTGTTGCTCCTAACCACACCCCACGTGTGTCCCCCATCCTCCCCCCATATTTTCTGATTTCTTCTGGGCTGGGCTTCCCATTCTCCACCAGCAGCTCCAGTATCCTAACTTTCTAGTCCTGCTGATCCTCTCAGCAACAGGGGGTGGAAACTGGATGGCAGTTTCTGGTCTGTTTTCTAAGATACTTCTGAATTCTATTATCTTTACAAATATAAGATGAGAAAATAATTTTTTCAATATTTTTTATTAATCTTTTTATAAAATGAAAAGAAACTCCTATGATCGATTAAGGAAGGTGGTTATGGCTGGGTGGTTGGTGGGGTTTTCTTTGTTTTTTTTTTAACCTTAAGCTTTACGTTGAAACATTCTCAGATGTTTGGGGGGAAACATCCTCTTAAAATGGGGTCCTTGTGCTTGCCTTCTGGGGAGGCGGTCCTGAGCAGGTGAATCATATGGCGTTTATGCATATGGTATATGCGGACTGCACCCACCTCTTGCCCCTCCAACCTTTGCCTCTTGGGTTGTTGTGCTACTTTCCCCTTACTTTGCTACATTTCTATAGTTAAGTTGGTTTTACTTGAATGATTCATGTTTAGGGGAAAAAAATGAAAACACTCTTAAAATTTGTTTCAACTCCTCCTGCAAATAAAAAAATAAATAAAGTGGCAGATGTAAATGGGCTCTGGTCATTGTCACGCGGTGTGTGTGTGTGTTGGGGGGTGGTAGACCTCTCCCATAGCAACTTCAGGGAACCTGCAAGACAAAATGTGGCGGCTAGGCCCAGGCTGTTGCTCAGCCCCCACAATCACTCATTCTGGGAAGTGCTTCAACGATCCCTCTGCTGGCGAATCACTATTCCCTTCCCAGTGGTTTTACGTCATCCTGTACCTTGGACACCTCAGGAAAACCAGATTTTTTCACAGTGGTGTCATGGGCAAGGCTTCCAAGGTGGTGGGGCAAAGGCCAAGGGGTGTGGATAGCAGCCATCTGTGTTTTCCACTGAGCTGGAAGATTACCCGAAAACCTAGCCCACATGGGTTGGGCACTAGATGGGTCCTTAACCTTCAGCCCTTGCCAGCTCTGGGCTTGGCTGTAGCCAGCAGAAGCCTTGAAAGCTAAAAATTCCTTCTTCCCACCTTATCCCCAAGGAGAATCTGGAGGTGCTTTCTGAAACCAAACTGGAAGCATCTTTGTGCCCTTCCTCTTCCCTTGAAGGGGACCAGGGAGGGATATGCCTCCCAGGCAAAGCAAAGTATACCAGCAGTAGCTTTGTGCACACTAGAGCAACCACTCCCATCCACCCAGAGTCCGCTGCGGAGCTGTTGCTGCCTGCAGGGCGGCTCCACCCTGGTACGTGCCTTTCCCCACCTCTTACCCTGCAGCTAAAAGCTTAGCAGCTGCGGGAGGGTAAACCAGGAACGCTCTGTGCTAAAGGTGGGTAGGAGCCTCAGGGCCAAGGTTGGGAGAAGGGGAGGCGTCAAGACAGGAATTTAGGTGACTAGGCAGGCAGGCAAAAGCAAGGTGGGGGAGCTGTGACCTCAGCACTGGCGGGAGACCCTGGAGTCCTCACCCCTGGGTTGGGGGCCGAACCTGCTGAGCCAGGCCGCCCTCTCCCACACCCACACTCAGCACCTGGAGCCCGACCCATCGGCTCGTGTCTCCGCCTCCTTCGCTACACAATCTCGCTCCTCGTCCCAGCCTGCCAGGGCCTAGTACTCGGCTGCCCGCAGGACCGCAGTCTCCTTCCTGCCCGGCTCTGGAGGGTGCCCTGGAAGCCATGGGTATGTGTAGAGGGTTTAGGGTGGCTCCTCTGCGCAAACGTGGAAACGGCAACAAAAGCCTACACCACCATCCTGCTCTTCTGTTGTCCTCTACACGGAGTGCGGGACTCGCGCCATGGCCAGGCGGCCCTGACTGGGCCCTTCTGAACCCCGCTTCCGCCCGCAGAGGTACTGGTCCTGGCGGGATACCACGCGCAGAAGGAGGGCGAGCTGAGTCTGGCTCCCGGGGACGTGGTCCGGCAGGTGTGCAAGGGACCAGCACGGGGCTGGCTGAGCGGAGAGCTGGGGGGCCATTGTGGCCTCTTCCCCGAGCGTCTAGTGCAGGTGAAGAGGGCCGGGGATGGGGATGGGGGTGGGGGCGTGTCTCAGTGCACCCCGGGGAATTGAGACCCCCCCTTCCCCGTGTCCTCATTTCTAGGAGATCCCGGAGAGTCTGCGCAGCGCGGGGGAGGCGCCGAGACCACGCTGTGCGCGCCGCCGAGGTGAGCGCAGGGGCCAGTGGGCGGGCGCGCGGAACCAGAGCGGTCCGGTACCCCGATCTCGCCCCGACGGGCGCGGCTCTGGGCGGGCCGCGGCTCTGGGCGGGCCGCTCGACAGCTCTGCGGTCTGATTGGTTCTCGAGCACAATACTCCGCCCTGGGGCGGGGTCTGGAGGCACGAAGGTGGACGCTCGCAGCCCGCCCCTCCCACAGTTCAGCGAACTGGGGCACCCAGCTGAAGCGGCCTTGCTCACGTCCCACTCCAGGTCGCCCCGCCAAATCTCGGGGCCCCCAAAGATGGTGCAAAGTGAACTTCAACTACAGCCCGGGGCAGGGGGACGAGCTGAAGTTGCAAGCTGGGGAGATTGTGGAAGTGATAAAAGAGGTGAGAGGATGGAGTGATAAGGGTTTGGGGGAAATGATGGAGCTTGTCCCGGGGTGTGGGGAGATGGGTGAAGTGAAGGTGTGGGTGATGGGAATGGTGAGGGGCTCGGAGATGGGAAAGTGAGGGAGCAAGGGAGGAGGGAGTCATTGGGACCGAATCAAGGGTGTACGATTTCTAGAGAGACACTTGGGGCAGAACCAGATACCCCTGCATCCTACCCTCTCCCTAGATTGAGGACGGCTGGTGGCTGGGGAAAAAGAACGGGCAGCTGGGAGCCTTCCCATCCAACTTTGTGGAGTTGCTGGACAGTGAGCCCCCAAGTGAGACCTGGATCCTGTGACCCCGTGAGACCCTGTGACCAGATTGCAATCTCCAATGACCCTCCCAGTAGCCTGAGCCTGTGATCCACACCTCCTGACCCTGTGACCCCTTTGACCTTTCCCATGACCTAACATGTGAATTAGCACCCCCCCCTTAACCTTCCTATCCCCCCACCAGGCCTTGGTAACTCAGACATGCCTTCCGTCAGCCCTGATCCCCAGCGGCCTCCCAAGGTAAGTTGATTGGAGAGGGCACAGAGGTGTTCCTCTGTGGGCACAGTGGGTTCCTCAGAGGGGAGTTGGAGGCTCAGTTTGTTCTTCCTCTCCCTGTCCTCACTAGCTGAGCAGCCTGACCTATGACAGCCCTCCAGATTACCTGCGGACAGGTGAGCACCCAGCCAAAGGGTCCCTTGGAACCCCCTTAAGCCACTCTGACTTTAGGGAGTGGGGACCCAGCTAGGCTGATGGAGAAGGGAGCCACTGACTGATTTGGGGAGGGGAGTTGGTTTCAGAGGATTGACTTCCCCTCAGTCTCCCAGCCTGAGACCTACAGGGTCCTGTTTGACTACCAGCCGGAGGCCCCAGATGAGTTGGCATTGCGGAGGGGGGACGAGGTGAAAGTACTGAGGAAGGTATGAAAGGCACAGGGCAGGGGAGGGTGCAGGGAAGGACCTGTTTAGAAGGGGTGGGGCCTGGGGGAGAAGGAGCTTGGGGACCTGGCTCACCTCCCCACAGCATCTCTCTCTCTCCCAGACCACAGAGGATAAAGGCTGGTGGGAAGGGGAGTCTCAAGGCAGAAGAGGAGTTTTCCCAGACAACTTTGTGCTCCCACCACCTCCAGTGAGTATGGAGCCAGACACTCAGGTGTGTGTGGGGGGTTGAGGGCATACAGGCTACTCTGGACATAGTTGGGGGTCATGGCGCTCACTGGGTACAGCGGGAGAGTCACCCCTAAATGAGGTTGGACCTAAAAATGTGGGGGTTCCTCTTCAGATTTCGATACTTCTTTTCTGCACAGATCAAGAAGCTGGCCCCACGAAAAGTGGTATCTCGAGAATCAGGTGGGTGTCTGGGAAGCCTGGGATTATGGGGAGCTGTCTGGGAGACCCATCGGTGTAGTTGCCTGTAAACACCCACAGCTCCTCAATGGTCCAGTACACCCCCGTAGGAGGTTAAGGATCTGATAGCAATGTATGTGGGTCAGCGTTTTTGTTAATACGTTCACGTTTCTCTGTGTCTTGAGAATGCAGCTATCAGTGTGTTTAGATTTGTTTAATTTTGTAAGAAAATGTATGAATTGATAGGCCTGGGTCTGTCTATGAGGCTGTAGTCACATGTCTTATAAGTGTGTATATGAATAGCTCTGTATATGTGTCTGTAGGGATGTGTGTGTTTTTAACCTTTTTTTTTTTTTTTAAATTGGGGAATTGGGGAAGGGGAACAGCCAACTTGTCCTTCATTCTTAGCTGTGGAGGAAGCAGTTAGCTCAGCTCCAAGTCCAGTCGCCATCCAGCTGCCCATCGGCAGCTTGCAGCTGCTCAGCTCAAGGTCCCGTGTTCAATCTTAGTTGCGGGTGGGTGTAGACACCATCCCATGTCAGTTTCGAACTGGCAGCCTTGTTGCTAAGAACGCGCACTCTATCCTGAGCCACCCAGGCAACAGCTCAGCTCAAGGTGCTGAGTTCAGTCTTTAGTTGCAGGCGGGCGTAGCCCACCAGTCGAACAGACAACCTTGTTGTTAGGAGCACGTGCTCTCACCAGCTGAACCATCCTGCCACCTGTTGGCAGCTCAGCCACAGCTCAGCTCGGGCGCAGCTCACTAGTCCTTGTGGGAATCAAACCGGCGACCTTGTTGCACAGAGCTCGCACTCTTGAGCAAACTCTTAGTCAACTGAGCCACTCTGCTGGCCCTCTTTTTAATCTTTTAATGTAACATGCCAAAAATATATGCAAAATATATGTTTTAAAGCTTAATGAACACCATGGTCTATCACTCAAACCCAAGAACTAGCACATTGCTAGTAGTCTGTGCATGCCTCCTTTTTCCATCCTGCTGCTTCTCCCACACCAAAGGTAACCACTATCCTGAATTTTGAGTTTATAATTCCCATGAATTTTTAAGTTTACTTACATATGTATGTGCCTAAACAATGTATCACTTAATTTATTTTTGCTTGTTTTTGAGCTTTATAAAACTGGTATCATATGTTTATAGTCTTCTGACACTTGCTTTTTCCAATCAGCATTACGTTTCTAAGATTTATCTGTGTTGTGTGTAGATGTAGTTCATTTATTTTTCTCTGCTATATAATATTCCTTGTAGGGAATTACTGGTTTATGTATCCCATCTCCTCCTGATGGACATTTTCCTTGTTTCTGTTGGGTTGTCAGAAAAGTCATGATGCATTTTTGCAACAAAAAACAGGAAAAATATGTCATCACTTTTCCGACAACTCAATAGTTTTTACTATTTTAAATAGTTCTGTTATGAAGATTCGTGTGCCTCTCTTCTGGTATGTAGGTATAATTGCTTCTCTAGGATATATTATAATTCTAGGAGTGGCACTGCTAGATTATAGGGTATGTAAATGTTCAGCTTTTATGAGGTAAAGTCAAGTCAAATTGATTTCCATAGTGATTATACATTTCAACACTCCACCATCTGTGTATAAGAGATCCTATTGATCAAAATCCACGTCAACACGTGGTATTAGCAGATTTCATTATTTTTGTGAATCTCATAGGTACAGAATAGCAACTCATTGTGGACTTAATTTATTTCCCTAGTTAGTAATAGTTTATTGGAATTCTTTATATGTTCTTAATATCAATCCTTTATGGGTTACGTATGCTACAAATATCTTCTCTTCATTTGTGGCTTGTCTCTCATTTTATGATTTTTCTTTTTTTTTTTTTT